GGTGGTAAGGCCAATATATTATGTATAAAACTTTTCAGGAAAATAAAAATTTTCCAGGTTAATACACTAGGTTTGAGTTAATAGCTACCTTCTCTTACCTCTGAAGTGTCTGCCATATGAACCAGTCACTTAGCTCATTTTGCTAATTAGGTAAGTTTTGCACTCTTTGTCTTCATGCACAGTGGGGTGTGAACACCTCACGGTCTAAAGTGCTGTCTCATGTTCAACACTTACCGTAGTTTCTTTTACTCAACATATTAAAGAAAGGTTGGGGGCCGGAGAGATGGCTCATTGGTTAAGGGCACTGCTACTCTTATCCTCAGTTAAGCTCTGAACCCGAGAACCTAGGTTTGGTTTGGTCCCAGCACTCATTAGGCAGCTCACAACTATCTGTTATTCCAGTTCCGAGGGGTCTGGAAACCTTTTGTGTCCTCTGGGACACTGGCTGTGATCATGTTTCACAGACAGAGGCAAAACACACGAAAACATTTCGTCTAAATGTATTTTTAAAAGTGTCTTAAGAAATGTTACACATTGTAGACTTTTTGCTAGTGAATACTTCATAAGGATTAGGCGTACTAAAAAGGTGTCAAATCTTCTATATTTGTTAGAGCTTTATTTCTTTTGGTTCTGAAGTTGTGTAATTTTTTAGACTCTCGACCTTGTTAGAGCATTACAAGATTTAGAAAATGCAGCCTCAGGTGATGCAGCAGTCCATCAAAGGATAGCTTCTTTGCCTGTGGAAGTTCAAGAAGTGTCCCTGCTTGAGAAAATAACAGGTAAGAAAAGAAAGTGAGGTCCAAGGGGTTGTTTGGGAGGCAGCATGTGGGAGCAGGTTGTCATCATTTTGTTGTGTATTAATTGTAATACCCTGTGCTTTTCTTAGATAAAGAATCTGGAGAGAGGCTTTCTAAAATGGTAGAGGATGCTTGTATGTTGCTGGCAGACTATAATGGCAGACTGGCGGCAGAAATAGATGATAGAAAGCAACTCACTCGAATGTTAGCAGATTTTCTTCGTTGTCAAAAGGAAGCCCTTGCAGAGAAAGAACATAAATTGGAAGTGCGTAACCTTTTCCTTCTTTAGTGCATATTTATTTAATTTTATTATACCTTAATGTATCTGTGTATTTTTAGAGTTCTTGCATCATGGACTATTTTAGGCAGTGGCCCAGGTAAGCTGCTTCTTGCTGTCAGTTTTTCCCTACAGATTGATTAAACAAATCTGGAATTTTGGTCTTAACAGAATTTGTTACATTCCAAATCATCTATGTGAAATTCCATGTAATAGAAATGTAAACCCTTCAAGCACAAACATAATAGGAAAATAACAAGTCTCATAAGTCTTGTGTTAATGGCAATAAATTGTTTGGTTTATTGAATTTCTCTTCTTAGCACATACTGTCTTTTAGGTCTATCATTAAATATCCAAATTATTTCTCCACCTCTGATTCTCACATTTAATATATTCCCCCTCACTCACTCTCTGGGCTTATACAATGCTGTTCCGGAAAAGACTGTTGATGGATTACATATGGTTGTGACTGATGGTGATGAGTCTGGGGCTCAGAAGGTAATACAGAAGCAGTCTCATTTATTTTGAGCAGAGAAGCCATTGTCAGCATAGGGGAGCTGGGTTTGGCTTTATTTAAAAGACCATTCGATCAACTAGTTCTTACTTGAGTTGTTCTTAATTTCAGTACCATGTGAGAATGTCCTGTTTGAGTCCCTTTATTTACAGACAGCTCCTTCTAAATTTGTAGGTGTATCATGGTACTGCCTCTTAATTTGATTTATTATTGTTTAATTCTTGGCTCAGCAGTTTCTCTCTCAATAAGCCCCAGGTGGTACTTGGACTGGCTTGCTCTTGCAGTTCTGAGAGAGCTCCTCGATTATTCCACACCCCAGATGCTCAACTCTTAATTTTACACTGTCCTTTTTCAGTTTGCTCCCTCTCTGCTCACACAAACTCACTTAGTCATTGGCACTTTGCTCTGTCCTTGAAGAGGTTGCCCACTTGGAATGGAAAAGATGCAGTGGAGTGTCTTAGAACATGAGTTTGGGAGTTAGCTTACCTGTTTGTGATGTTGTAGTGGCCTTCAGTCTTATTCATCCTTACTTGTTTTCTGTTCGCAGCATTGAGGGTGAGTATGTCAACAGTTTTTGTCTTCAGCCTTTTGGTACGGTTTCTTTAACTTTTGTCGAGCTTCTGTTGCAGGTATTGGACACGGCGTATCATCTAACGATGTCATCACCATTAGGGTATTCTTCCGGCTAAAAATAAACATCAAACTCCAAAGCCTGTATTGTCTCATGTTTTTGAAAATTGAAGAACGATATTTATTATTCTATTTATACCTGCTTTCTCACTTTTGGTGTTGACTATTACTGGTTTCAAAAATACAATTTATATTTGACATGTAACTGTAGAAAATAGGTCACTCCTACACCCACCCCTGCCCCCATTTGCTGGTGCATTCTAGCCAGATTTTCTAGTTAATAGTCATACACAGAGCCGATGATGGTAAGACTAACATTTACCATGTCTCAGGGGCACAGTTCTAGCCCCTTCACATAATCACCTCATTCAGTCCTACACAGCAGGGTACATATCATCCACAGGTTATAGTCATGGAAATAAGGTTCAGGGAGATAAAGTAGCTCCCACATTTTTCACAAAGCAGTATTGGATTGTTTAGAGCAGTGAACTTCCAGCATCAGTGCATTCACTCCAAAGCCATGTTGGCTCTTGTTCTGACAGAAAGAAGTCTACCCCCCCTGGCAAAACCCGAAGTCCTCTTTCTCCAGCTCTTAAGAACCCTTGCCTTTCCAAGTAATCGCTGGCTTGAAATAAAGTCTTCTAGGGAGTTTGATTGTTGTTCATTCAGTATGGCTGAATTTTATATCGAAGAAACCACCTCAATTATCAGGATATTTTGTTTTGTTTTTCTATTTTTAAATCTTTCTGGTTTTTTTAAGACAGGGTTTCTCTGTGTAGCCCTGGCTGTCCTGGAACTCACTCTGTAAACCAGGCTGGCCTTGAACTCAGAGATCTGTCTGCCTCTGCTTCCTGAGTTCTGGGATTAAAGGTGTATGCCACCATGCCCAGCTCATGATCGTATTTTTAAAGCTACTGTTTACATAAACTAGGAAGTTACAGAGCAAGATCTCAAGATCTCACTGTAAATCGTCATTGAGAAGTAAGCTTTTTTTTTGTCATATGATGTGACAATGACTTGATATTTAAACATGCCTTGTATTAGTAGGCAGCATCACCCTGAAGTAGAGACTGAGGACCGAAAGCTTGTTTTTGTATCAGCTACACTGTTTCTAAAACTGGTTTAAGTGTTGGTGACACTAATCACCATTGTTAGAAAATAGAACAAAAGTATCAGTTTAAGAAGAGAATGTTTGGGGCTGGAGAGATCGCTCAACAGTTAAGAGCACTGACTGTTCTTCCAGAGGTTCTGAGTTCAGTTCCCAGCAATCATGTGATGGCTCACAACCACCTATAATCTGGTGCCCTCTTCTATCCTGAAGGGACACATGCAGGCAGAACACTATATACATAATAAATATTTTTTTTTTAAAAAGTGGATGTTTAATATGTTGAGGGAGCCACTCTTAAAACATTTGAAATCAATGAAAACATGGAGTGCTTCTAACAGTTGAGGTAATCCCTTTTGATTAACTTTGATTAGTAAACAGATAATAGACTACTAATCTAGGCTATTGCACTTGCCTGTAATTTTAGTGCTAGTGAGGTTGAGGCAAAGAGTTCCTGAGATTAAGGCCAGCGTGGACTATAGAGCAATAATCTGACGGGGGTGTTGGATGGGTGGGTGGATGGATGGATGGATGGATGGATGGATGGATGGATGGATGGATGGATGGATAATGGATTTGATTTGGAACCCAGAACTCCCCGTCTCAGCCTTCCTAGTGCTGGCATCGCGTGTGTCTGCACCATAGGATGACTTAAAGTGACACTTCGATGTGTTGGGGGCAGGAAGATGAGAGATTCTTCTATATCAACGAGATCCCCAGTTGTTTAGTTTCCACAAACTGTAGTGCGGGATTCCACAATATGGTCCTGGAAGGAAACATGCTTTTTTAAAGTCAGTGCTTTCTGCCTTTAGTCCCAGCACTCAGGAGGCAGAAGCTGGCAGATCTCTGAGTTCTGAGTTCAAGGCCAGCCAGGGCTACACAGAAACTCTAGAAAAGAGCTGAAATAAGTGAGTAAACAAGCAAATACATAATGTCAGTGCTTGCTAATCTTTGTGGATCCTGTGATGTTCTGTATTATTTCCAAATAATTTTATTGGAATTTGTTTTGCATATGATACAGAGATGTAATGGATTGAAAGAGGTAATTAATGGTTCCCTTACTGATTAATAATAGGACAGGTATAGTGGCTCATGTCTTAGTCCTAGACCACTGTAGACTGAAGCAGGAGAAGCATGAGTTGGAGGCCAGTGTGGTCTTTGTAGCAAGTTCCAGACTGGCCTCTGCTGCATAGTGAGATTCTGTCCCAACCTTCTCCCCTAAAATCCAAAATTAATGACTTTTTTTACTAGTGTTGTGAAATGCTATTTCGCCAAGCTTAATTTCTATATGTGCACACTAACCTGTAAGTTTGACGTTTAATTGTACAGATTGTGACTTCAATTGCTTTCTAATACTGTTCATGTTTGCCATTTCAATTAATTATGGTTATTGTGTGTATGAAATTGTGTTTTTTTCTCTTTCATACTTTGTATTTTTATTGAGAGTGCTCATTCTTTTATCATGACATGGGTCATTTTTTTCTGTCATTTATACCTAAGATAAAGTTTAATTTACATGGTAGATATAATAAGGAATTAATCGCAGTATGATGATAAGCCTATGAGATGTAGTTTCTCTCACATCACAGTTCACTGTAGTGAAATTGGACTGTGATGACTGAGGATGACTGACAGTGGAGAGAAGCCTGGACGAGGACTGCTTACAGAAAGACCTCAGGGCCAGGTGTATAGTGGCTAGAAGTTTGGCTCAGTAATGTGAACAAAGGAGAAAAGAGCCATTCTTTATGTTGTGAGAGTGTCCTGTTTTGTCTGTGACTGCAGGAGTAGAGTAAGCAGTGCTGAGGCTGGAAAGGGGACAGTGCCAGGTGGGCTGGAATCCCTGTCCCTTCCTGATGGGGAGTGTGTGCGGATGAACAGGTGTGCTGCCTGCAGAGGTGAGGCCTTGTTGCTCAGCACCACCACAGTTTGTTACTGTAGCAGCTGAGGGTTCTTAGGAGTCAGAGGAAATGCAAAGTGGCTTGGAACCACCATGAAGAAGGCCCTTGAATTTCCAAAGCGCAAGAAGGAGCAGTGGTGCTGACTACTCCTGGTTGCTGAGTGAACTGGAGAGTGAAGGTGGGCAGGACTTGGTTTAAACAGTGTGTTGGCAGTGCTGGTCTGAGCTGCCCAGGTAGTAGCAGTGGAGTATTGGATGGCTTCTTTCTTGTTCCCGTGTCCAGGCCAACTGCCCTGTTGCTGGGCTTACAGGTGTGCATCACCGTGCCTATGTCAGGTGAAGTTTTGTTACTACTGTAAAGGTACTGTGTGTTCATAGTTTTGCACCCATTGCTAAAGGCATAGATGCTACCTACAATTCCATTATTCCTTAATTTTTAACAAGATTCGAAGGATGGGATTGTTGTACCTACAACTATTTTTGTATGCTGTCGTACTTTGCACATTTACTGTAAACATTTCCATATTTATCACCCCTCCCCCCTCCCCCTCCCCCTTGGTTTTTCAAAACAGGGTTTCTCTGTAATGGTCCTGGCTGTCCTGGAACTCACCTTGTAGACCAGGCTGGCCTGGAACTCACAGAAATCTACCTGCCTCTGCTTCCCAAGTGCTGGGATTAAAGGCTTGCACTACCACCACCCCGCCCCTTTTGTTTTTTGGGATGGCACCTTGAACTTTGCCCATGCCAATCAAGCTCTCTCTACTCTTATCTTAATTACCAATCTGACTTTAATAGCCAAGTTATAGCCTGTTACAGAATAGTATTTATCTACCTACTTT